GGTGAGGCCCGGCGGGGGCACCACCGGGGCCCTCATCCCTCTCCTCCCCCTACCTAAGGTTTCGGGTGGACGTGGCTTTATCACGTCCTAAGCTGCAGGTGCCACTGTCGTGGTCTTTAGGACGCATCCCCCTTGTTAATGGAATGAGGCTTCAGGCTTGTTCTGTAATAGTGGCTCCCCTTTAAGAGGAAGGGTCTGGGGTGGTGAAACTGGGATTTCTGGGCTCTAATCCTAAAGTCATCTATTTGGAAGAGTCCCTTCCTCTCTCTGGGCCTCGATTTCCCGATCAGGATTTGGGCAGGATGGACAGGATGGGCTTGAAGGGGCTTTTCCTGTGACAGGGTTTATCCTAGACACCTCTGATGCTGGAACCTGCAATTAGGAAAAGGTACCGGCGCTTCTTAGGGGCGACGGCGCCCGGAGTAGGGTCAGAAGGGGGGTTGCTCTCACGCTCATCTTTTCCCCATCCCACCCCCTACCCAAGGGCCCACTGATCGCGAGCCTCCCCGAAGCCCGAATGCGGAAGGTGGTGGGGCAACTGGACCCACAGCGTCTCTGGAACACTTACCTGCGCCCCCTGCTGGTTGTGCGAACGCCGGGCAGCCCGGGCAGTCTCCAAGTCAGAAAGGTAAGGGTCACTCACATCTGACCCCTCAGACCGCTAGGGAACGGGAAATAGGCATTCTGCCCAAGACCCACAGAAAGTGGAGCTAATCTCTAGACTCTAGAGTAAGTGACTACCAAGCTGTACTGCCCTCTGTCCCGCCCCCACTAAAAGCCTACTATGTGCTTGGCACGAGTAACAACAGCCTTATGAAGTAGGTACCAATGTGACCTTCACTATGCAGACGGGGAAACTGAGGCCCAGAGCAGTTGGGCCTTTTTTGTCCAGATCCCACAGCTAGTAAATGGTGTACCTACAGTTTCAATCCAAACAGGTTGGCTCCAGAGCTGGTGCTGTAACGTCTCTATATTGCCCCCCAGAAAGCAGCCAGAGTCATTTGAATACTGCCCGAGTTCAAATCCCACTTCAGCCCCTTGGAGTAGTTTCCTAAGCGCCTTGAGCCTCAGTTTCCTCATCTTTGAATTGAGCCACTGATGGTCCCTACCCCACAGAGTTCCTAGAACAGGGCTTGGCACACAGTGAGTGCTTTTGAGGAGTGAGCTGTGGTTAGTCTTGGCATCAAGAGGTGGGGTCATTCCATGGCACTTAATAGGTACTTAGCAGAAGTGTGAAAGGAATGATTAAAACTGAAGTGGGACTTGTGAGTCAACCCGACTGCTCTCTGCATGGCTCAGGTCACATGGCCCTTTTCCCTCTATACTCCCCAGTACCCCCACCCACCTCTCTCTTGCCACTAGTTCCTGGAGGCCACTTTGCGGACCCTGACGGCAGGCTGGCACGTGGAGCTGGACCCCTTCACAGCCTCAACGCCCCTGGGACCACTGGACTTTGCCAATGTGGTGGCCACACTGGACCCAGGGGCTGCCCGTCACCTCACCCTTGCCTGCCATTATGACTCGAAGCTCTTCCCATCTGAGTCAGCCCTATTTGTGGGGGCCACGGATTCAGCTGTGCCTTGTGCCCTGCTACTGGAGCTGGCCCAGGCCCTGGACCAGGAACTAAGTAGAACCAAGGATCAGGTGAGGAGTGGGGGGAGGGGAGGGGGGAGGGCAGGGACAACCTCTCCCTTGGTTGAAGCCACCACCCTCCCTTGCCCGGTCTTGTTTTCCTGTCACCACTACACATACAAAGCCACCGGGATCTTTCCAACTCCTGAACGTCAGATCCTGTCCCTTCTCTGCCCCAAATTCTCCCATGGCCCCTACCTCATTCCATGCATAAGCCAGAGAGTTTTTATAGTGGCCCATGAGATGCGCCCCATCCTACTAGTTACCTCTCTAGTCTCATCTGCTACCCCTCGCCCCTCGCTCATCCTACTCTAGCTACCTACTGCCTTGTGTACCTCAAATCCACAAGGATAACTCCCTGAGGAGCATTTGTACTTGCTAGGATATGCTTTTCTTTCTCTTTCTTTCTTTCTTTCTTTCTTTCTTCTGGCTAGAATTTTCTTTTCTTTCTTCCTTTCTTTCTCTTTGTCTTTCTTTCTTTCTTTCTTTCTTTCTTTCTTTCTTTCTTTTTAAATATATTTTTATTGATTTCAGAGAGGAAGGGAGAAGGATAGAGAGATAGAAACATCAATGATGAGAGAGAATCATTGATTGGCTGCCTCCTGCACGCCCCCTACTGGGGATGGAGCCCACAACCATGTGCCCTTGGCCAGAATCGAACCCGGGATCCTCCAGTCTGCAGGCTGACGCTCTATCCACTGAGCCAAACCGGCTAGGGCGAATGTGCTTTTCTCAGTTATCTTCCTAACTGGCTCCCATCCTTCATTCAGGTGTCCATTCTGATGTTACCTCCTCAACAAGGCCTTCCCATGATTTGTGATGCTTATGTTGATTTGTTTGTCTGTCTCACACTAGAATAAGCTCCATCTAGTCAGGGATTTGGCTGCTTTTGTTTCTGCTCTATTCCCTGCGCCCAGAGTATTGCCTGGAATGAAGTAGGATGTCAATTAAAATGAGTGGAAATAGGAAAAAATATAAAATAAGATGCATGGAATGAATGAATGAAAACACTAGTTTCCTCATGCTCCTCCCCTGCTTAGACGACCCCCCCCTTCCCAGTGCCCCAAAGCCCAAGCTCCCTGGCCCTTGCTGACCCCTCAGGCCTCTTCTCAAACTTTCCCTGACCCCTTCTCTGGCCCAGCCCTGGTCCATATTGCTTCCTTGCCTGGGAACACTCTTCCCTCTGACCCGGTTTGCCAGGCCAGCTCCCACTTACCCTCAATACAAACATCCCTTTCCCACAGACCCGGCATGCCCCCGGGCCGGTTATCCTCCACGCCCTTCCTGTGTTCTTTCAGGGCCCTGTAATTTTGGGGAGCATTGGTCTCAACTGCATTTCACTGTTTGTATAATTATTCATTTCTGGGTGTGTCTCTTTTACAAAACGGGCTAGAGGAATAAGGATAATAATCAGAGCTAACCCTTTAGTTACTATGTGCCAGTTACTATTCTAGGACCTGGTTCGAATCCTGCCCTATAAATAGACCTGTTATTAACCCCATTGCTTTCTTTCTTTTTCTTTTCTCTCTCTCTTTTTTATTTATTTTTTAATTTTTTTTAATTTTTAAAATTTTTTTTAATATATATTTTGTTGATTTTTCACAGAGAGGAAGGGAGAGGGATAGAGAGTTAGAAACATCGATGAGAGAGAAACATCGATCAGCTGCCTCCTGCACACTCCCCACTGGAGATGTGCCCGCAACCAAGGTACATGCCCTTGACCAGAATCGAACCTGGGACCCTTGAGTCCGCAGGCCAACGCTCTATCCACTGAGCCAAACCGGTTAGGGCTCTCTCTTTTCTTTCTTTTTTTTTTTTTTAACCGCATTTCTACATGAGGATACTGATGCTTTGAGAAGTTAGTAACTTACCCATGACTGCTTGGCCAGCAAGCAGCTGAGCCAGGATTTGAACCCAGGCGGTCTGGCTCAGAGTCTATGCTCTATGAGTGAGGAGACCTAGTTTGTTCCATTCAGCTTTGCAGGGGGCAGGAGATGGGGGTGGGTCAAGATCAGGGCTGACACTGAGCACCAGCTCCCACAGGCAGCCCCAGTGACCCTGCAGCTGCTCTTCTTGGACGGCGAAGAGGCGCTGAAGGAGTGGGGACCCAAGGACTCCCTCTATGGCTCCCGGCACCTGGCCCAGCTCATGGAGTCTGCACCCCACAGTCCTGGCCCCACCAGGATCCAGGCTATTGTAAGACCAGGGCCCCACTGGGTTCGGTGAGGGAGGGAGGGGGTAAGGTAAGGTTGGCAGCATCCCACCTGGCCCCTCCAGCCTGGCCTCTCTCCCTAGGAGCTCTTTATGCTTCTTGATCTCCTGGGAGCCCCCCATCCAACCTTCTACAGTCACTTCCCCCGCACAGCCCGCTGGTTCCATCGGCTGAAGAGCATCGGTAAGGGTGACGGTGGAGGCAGGCTCCAGCCTGGAATGCAGGTGGGAGGGTCGGGGTGGGGCAGGCACCTGTCCTCTGAGGGGTCATCCAGCCTTCTCTCTACCTCCTAGCCTCTCTCTAAGGCACTATCACAAAGGGCAAGACACAAACAGATCCCACAGCAGTCGTGATTATAAACAGGGCAGGGGGTCAGGTAGCCCTGGGTTCGAATCTTGGCTCTCCTTACCAGCTGTGTGAACTTGGGCAAGTGGCTTCATCCCTGAGCCTCAATTTCCTGTCTGTAAAGTGGGCATGCTGCTAATGATAATAGGGGAACACGGTACAGCTGCAGGAAGGGGGAACTAGCATTCATTCTTACACTGGGGTGATCAGTGCTTTACCTTCAGACCCCCTACCCTCCTCTGATTTCTGAGCAAAACCTTTGACCCCTGAGGGGACTGACTTTGGCTCCCTAATCCCCACTCCCTCCAGAGAAGCGCCTGCACCGTTTGAACCTGCTACAGGCTCACCCCCAGGAAGTGATGTACTTCCAGCCCGGGGAGCCCCCTGGCTCTGTGGAAGACGACCACATCCCCTTCCTCCGCAGAGGTACTTGTTGCAGGGGGGCGTGGGGGGCGGACGTCCAAGGGAAGCCACAGAGGGACCTGGCCCTGACCCCTTCTCAGGGTGGGGGACTGGTGGCAAGTTGCTTAACCTATTTGTGCCTCGATTTCCTCATCTTTAAAGTGGGGACAATAGCTCCCATCTCAGTTCCTTTCTCGTTGAGGGGATTGAATGTGCTGATACAAAATGTAAAGGCCTTTCTTGGACAAGTGCCTGGCACATAACAAGCATTTGAGAGATGTGAGCTGGTACTGTTTGTGCCTTAGTAATTGCAGTTTCTTCTAGCTCTTGACTTTCAGTGCCCTGGCAGCCCAGCAGAATCACCCGAGGAGCTTAGGAGAACACCCAATCACATTTTGGGCCCACCGAGCCACCATCTCGGGCCTCTGTGCTAGTTTTGCAAAACTCCCAGGTGATGCCGATGCACAGCTAGGGTGGAAGACATCTGGTCGAGGGTTTCAGATAGTAGGTTTCAGAATTGGTCTGAGCTCTAGGATCTGCAACTTACCACTGGTTGACCTAAGGCAAATTATGTAGCCTCTCTGAGCCCCCATTTCTTTTTTTTTTTTTTAATATATTTTATTGATTTTCCACAGAGAGGAAGAGAGAGAGATAGAGAGCTTAGAAACATCGATGAGAGAGAAACATCGATCAGCTGCCTCCTGCACATCTCCCACTGGGGATGTGCCCACAACCCAGGTACATGCCCCTGACCGGAATCGAACCTGGGACCCTTCAGTCCGCAGGCTGACGCTCTATCCACTGAGCCAAACCGGTTTCGGCTGAGCCCCCATTTCTTCTGGGAAAATGAAGAGATTTACACATAAAAAGCACATCTATGTGTATATTCCTAATCAGTGTTGGGAGGATGAGATAAGATTAGGTATATGAAATGCCTGCTTCCACAGTGCTTGGCATATAGTAAGTGCTAAAAACTGCTTTTAAAATTTTTACTCTAATTTACTTATCCAACAAATATGCATTCCTTACAACACCTTTTTCTTTTTAATATTTTTTATTGATTCAGAGAGGAAGGGAGAGGGAGAGATATAAACATCTATGATGAAAGAGAATCATTGATCGGCTGCCTCCTGCATGCCCCACATTGGGAATCAAGCCCACAACCTGGGAATGCACTCTGATGGGGAATTGAACTGTGTCCTCCTGGTTCATAGGTCAACGCTCAACCACTGAACCACGCCAGCTGGACTACAACACCTTTTTTATTGATTTGTTCAATGAATACTTCCCAAGGCAGGTACTGAGCAAGGTATCAGGGATACAGTGATGCACCAGAATACACCTGCCTCCTGTCTAGTGATGGGACCGATATTTAGCAAATCTGGAAAAATGCAGAGAGAAGTGCTCTGAGGACAGGAACCCAACGCAGAACAGTGATTAAGAGCACAGACTCTGGCCCAGCCAGCGTGGCTCAGTGGCTGAGCGTCGATCTATGAACAGGGAGGTCACAGTTCGATTCCCAGTCAGGGAACATGCCTGGGTTGTGGGCTCAATCCCTAGTGGGGGGTGTGCAGGAGGCAGCCGATCAATGACTCTCATCATTCATGTTTCTATCTCTCCCTCTTCCTCTCTGAAATCAGTAAAAAATATTTTTAAAATGGGGGCGGGGGGACATGGAGACATATGACCTGGATTCAAATTCTGACTGTTGTTTACTAGAGGCGGGATCTTAGGCAAATCCCTCTGCCTACCTCTGTGCCTCAGTGTCCACATCTGTAAAATGGCGGTAGTTATGGTGCCCACCTTAAAGGGTTAATATAAGGACAAAATGGTGTGTATTTGTGATATATGGCCTTAGACTAGGGCCTGGAATAGAACAAATACTATGTAAGTGCTAACTATTAGTAAAGAAGAGAAAAAGAGAGGATAGTCAGACGTCTGTCCTTTCTCCTGGTCTTTCCATAAGGCATTAAATTTTGCGTTCCTCTTAATTTGTGTTAGGAAAACAATATACTGGATACATATTTTTAAACTAACATGTACCCTCACACACTTAAAGCGATTGCTCAGAGTTCTTCAAGCGCCAGAACAGAGTTATCTTCTGAGGGGGCTGGGGGGCTGGGCCTGAGTCTTCTCTCTGTCCCACAGGGGTCCCGGTGCTCCACCTCATCTCCACGCCCTTCCCCTCTGTCTGGCACACCGCTGAAGACTCTGAGGCCAATCTGCACCCACCTACCGTGCACAACCTGAGCCGCATCCTCGCCGTGTTCCTGGCTGAATACTTGGGGCTCTAGCCTGCCGGGTTGACCCTGAAGGAGAAAGACCCAGCAGGGAATGTGGCAGGGGCACCGGGAGCCAGCGAGCTCAGGCCGGGCCCACCTTGGGTTTGCTGGCTCGTCCTGTTTAATGCCTTTGGCTCTGCTTGTGCTGTTACTGGAAGACCCTCTCTCCTTTGAGTATCTCAAGCTGCCACTCTTCAAAGACATGGAAGAGACCGTTGTGGGGCGAGAGCCAAAGGAATAAGAGCTTGGGCCCTGCTCTGAGGGAGACATTGGGCTGAAAAAGTTCGCAAGGGCAACTGCTATTCTTGGTTTTAGTCAGCAAACTGTGGACTGGCATATGGAACAGCAACACCACCCAACCCAGTGAATTCTCTGTGGCTGTTGTTTTTGTGGCAGTTCATTCTCCAGAGTGTCAGCCTTGCTACTCCACCGGTCCAAACTTAGCTCCACATGGATGTGCCATGTGGGGCCCACAGAGGATGTGCTCCTAAGCGGGAGCAGGAGATGGAAGCCAATACGTGGGAACACCAGATTCTGCAGACCCAACAGGCAATAATCTAGTGTTTCTGCAAAACATATTCTGCAGAACTTTAAAGGTGTTGCATGAAAGAAGGGATCAAGGAAGAAGGGTGAGCCATTAAATGAGTTCATTGCACAATGTGAATTTTCAACGGTAAGACAATGCATTGTTTTCCCAAGTATTTCACCAGGGAACTCCTTTTTTGGGAAGCACCTCACAGAACTAGGTACCTCAGAAGATACTTTGGGAAACACTGGTATGTTTATGGAAGGAATAAGACAGGCCAGAGGTCACTGCAAACTAGTTATACCAAACCGTCCTGTCTCTTTTAAGTTATGGGTACAGGAGTGCGAGATGGTGGGTATAACTCCAACTCTAGTGATGGCCTGAGGAAGTATTTCCCAACCATACCTAATTTTCAGACTCCACTGGAGTACTTATTAAAAATGCAGGCTCCGCCCTGGCTGGTGTGGCTAAATGGTTAGTGTCGGTCTGCACACCAAAGGGTCTTGGGTTCGATTCCTGGTCAAGGGCACATACCAGAAACCTTTCTGTGCACGGGATGCCACCCAACCAAGCCACAAAGGCCAGGGCCTACCTTTCTGACTTTGATGGAGACCTGGTAGGTAGCAGGGATATCAGGCCAGTTTGGAGGGTTATTAGGTAGTAAAGGTGAGCATTGATTGGCCTGAGTCAACGCAAGGCTGGAGAAGATTCAAGAATTCATGGGCTTAAGCTCAGGATATCAAATGAGAGGATAAAGAGAAGGTTCTCGATTCACATTCTGCCACAGTAGCTGACATTTATTGGGGTACCTACTACAGGCCAGGCACCATGAGCACTTTATATATAGCAACTCAGTCTCCCCCCAAACCCTGAGGTAGGTATGATTTCGGTTCTCATTTTGCAAATGAGGGGGTTGGGTCTGAAATTTATGAACCAGTTGTTTACAGATTCTTACACAGGGCCATGCTCCTAACCCCATGTCCTTTCCAAGTCACACGTTTGGGACCAACAGATTGTTAACAAAAAGTAGCTCCTCCTGGCCCTAACCGGTTTGGCTCAGTGGGTAGAGCGTCAGCCTGCGGACTCAAGGGTCCCAGGTTCGATTCCGGTCAAGGGCATGTGCCTTGGTTGCGGGCACATCCCCAGTGGGGAGTGTGCAGGAGGCAGCTGATCGCTGTTTCTCTCTCATTGATGTTTCTAACTCTCTATCCCTCTCCCTTCCTCTCTTTAAAAAAAAAAAAAAAAAAAAGTGGCTCCTCCTGAGGCTTTTAATTGGGTGCAAGTTAGAGTGGGGTTGGGGGTGGGTGGATGGACAGACTAATAACCTCTTAGAGGTGGAACTGGCGGAAGTCCAGAGTTCAGAAAGGAAAATTGACAGACATCAGCCAGAGGGTCTCAAACCACATGGAGATTCCTGTTTGCTCATTTCCGGTGGGCCACCCGTGTCCCCTGAGCCTCCCAGCCATGCAGAAGTACATGAGACATCACCTCCATATTGGAGAGAGGAAGCAGTGTTCGGTTACATCCCCAGCCTGTCTCCCTACAAGACACCCTGGTTGGGTGCACCATGCGCCAGGCACTGGGCAAGGGGTCTGATGAATAGTTTTTGCATGAATCCAGGGCAAGGATTGTGAGCTCCATTTTACAGATGAGGTTGCCGCTGCTGCTTTCCCCAGCTCCATTTGTCCCCCAAACTTGGGATCCCCAGCCTCGTGCTCTGAAGGGGCCACTAGGTGTATTTAGTAAGCGCAGTTGAGCGCTCTGGATGAGATGTATCACGCCAATCTTTTGAGGAACCATCAGTATTCTCATTTTTCATTTTAAGATACTGAGATTCAGAGAAATCCATTGCCGAAGATCACATAGCTGGGCTCATTCACTGCAGGGTGTCTAGGGGTACATTTCTTTTTATTCATCCTGCTTGACTGGTTGGGCTTATTGGTCTTATCAGCCGGGAGTAAAGAACATCTTTAAATATCTTTGCACTATCCTTGCTTCTGATTCTAGAATGCCAATTAAATACTTTTTCCCTCTATCCTCTATAACTTTTTTTAAAAATATATGTTGATTTCAAAGAGGAAAGGAGAGGGAGGGAGAGATAGAAACATCAATGATGAGAGAGAATCACGCCCCACACTGGGGATTGAGTCTGCAACCTGGGAATGTGCCCTGACCAGGAATCAAACCATGACCTCCTGGTTCATAGGTTAACACCCAACCACTGAGCCACACCAGCCGGGCTATATAAACTTTTGTCTGCTACTTTGTGGACTTCTCTCTGGTGTAATAAATCTTCAGGTGTGTCTAATTTGCTGTTTAGCCACTCTTGAGTTTTTACTTTTGGTTATTACATGTTGGTGGGCTTTTTCCTTTCATATTGGCTAGGCTATTATTTAACTCTGAGTTCCCTGCAGGTATTTGCAAGCTCTTGTATTCTCATCTATGACGGAGTCTCATCATCTGAAGCCTGTTTTTGCTGGTTCTTGCTCATGCTGGTGTATTTCCATGCGTATTTGGTTATTTGACTGTATACCACTCATTGTCTGAAAATTATGTGTGGGGGACTCTGGGGGACAGTTCCTCACACCAGCGGATGTGTGTTTGTTTCTGCCAAACATCTCAGCTAGAAGTACCCTGGGAAACATCACTGATGCAAACCTAGCTGCAAACGCGAGCCAGAGCCGGCCTGCAACCGCCAGTTTTCAGGTCCACCTTCTTCTTTCTTTGGTCTGTGCTCCCCTCAGTGTTCAGAACATCTCTGCAATCTTCTGGGTCACCCTTACCCAGCCTATGGTTCAGTGGGATCTCAGCTATTAGATTCCTCACCTCGGGCAGGCTTTGGCCTTGACTTCTGCCTGCCCCAATAAGGCTACAAACAGGACACCCACGTTTGTCCACATCAGCAAATGCCCTCAGAGCAAAAAGTGGCTTCAGGACCCCATGTACCTTTTCTTCAAATTTATGGGCTTAGTGTGTCCTTAACCGCATTTTATTGGCTATTTGATGCTTTAAAGATATTTAACTTACTATTTTCAGCAGCAGAGTCCCAATAATCTGGTTCCCTCCACAGGGAACAGAAGTCCCATAAAACCAAGCCAAGATTCAAACCCAGGTCTCTTTTATTCTAAAATCTAAGCATTGACTAACTACTATGGATATATCCTAGTCTCTCTGGAAATTTTGATTCCCTGATAAGAATATCAAAGAATGTCAGCTACCTCTCAAAATCCATTTTCCCTCTTCTTTTATACTTGAATTTTTTCAATGTCTTAATCCCTTTTTATTTAGTAAATAATCAAATGGATATTTTAAAACTTTCATTATAGGGATCTTTAGTAAGAGTTCTTTTGTTGGGCATAACACATCCAGCTAAAAGACTACATTCCCCAGTCTCCTTTGCAGTCCTTCCATTTGGTTAAGTTCTGACTAGTGAGAAGCAAATGACGTTGAATGAAATGATGTTCATTTGAGGACCTACTGTACAGTGTAGTGCTCTCGGAAGGAAGGGGGTTTCCCTTCCTTCAAAATGGTGATGGCGAGAGTTCTAGCAGTCACCTTGGACCATGTGTTCCTGATGACTTCAGGGCCACCATACCTGCCCAACACTGGATTTCTAAAGAAATAAAAACTCTCTTGTTTAAGCTACTACTATTTTGAGATTTGAGTCCAAACTGACACAGATGAAGAGTCAAAAATAATTTCATGCTAAGGGACTTGGCTAAGGATCCTTTTCTCAGCTTTTTCCGTCTCACCATGCTTGGACCCATGACTCCCTTCTCTCCCGAATCCCCTCCCTGAACAATATACAAACCAGTCTGCGCTCAGCCTTATAAATATGGATTTTATAGAAAGGACCAATTCAAAATTGGTCAGATGCCACACGCCAGAGGCTTCCAGAACCACAGGGATGAAAAAACAAGAACAACAACAAAAAGACAAAACCCAAACAGAACAAACAAAAACACCCCAGACCCAATTGCCTGAAAAATCAAGGTCTCAGTTAACCAAAGGCTTTTCCTAAAGAAACATATGTGGCTCAGGGTGGAGACCCTAAAGCCTGAACAAGTACCCAGAGCAGAAGGAAAACAACCAAATTCAAGCCCACAGTCCCTGCCCACTGGCCCCCCACGCCGTCAAGAGCGAGGCAAAGGGCTTCACAGCTTTTTTTTTTTTTTTTTAAAGCGGTGGTGATGGTAAATAGCTTAAATAATGGGAGGAGGGAAATTTTTATAGTTCAACTTTCTTTTTTCTTCCCCTTTGGGGGAAGTGGAGAGACTAGTAGCTTGAGGTTAAGGAGAAAACTGATTTTTATTGTTTTAATGGGGAAAACATGTAGAAATGGCAGGTTGCCATGAAACGTACCTAATTTGATCTGTGATCCTGGCCCCCAATTCCTGAAGAGGAGGTACGCCCTGGCACAGGTTAGGAGAGGTACCAGCCTTGGGTGCTGCCGCCTCTTGGGAGAGAGAACACAGCTCCAGAGCAGAGAATGGGGATGGCTAGGGGGGAGCAGAAGGGGGCCAGGACGGGGGAACCCTTAAGTAGTACCAAAATTAGCTGCCGTCTGCTCCCTGCTGGTGGCTCCCTGGGGTGTCGAGTGGCAGGAAGGGTGCTAGGGCTGAGTGGAGAAGAAACTTGAGATGCTATAAAAAACACCCTCCACGAGGGTCCCTGGCCCTGGGTCTCCAGAATAGAAAACCAACAGGGGTCAGTCAGTCAGAGTGCTTTCTTCTGTCATCCCCCTGAACCCCAGCTCAGTCTGGAGGGGAATGAACACTGCCCGGACTGGGGGTAGGGCTGGTGACCAAGTCCTGGCGCTCGGCACCCACGGAGAGGGGCGGGCATGGTGGGCTCCCCCCCTCCCCTGGCTTCACCTCCCCTCCTCCCGGCCAGCCCGGCCCCCGCCCCCACCAGGCCCATTGCAGGGCAGCACCCAGTTGTTATCGTGCAGACCCAGGCGGCAGCCAGGCGTCTCTCGATCGGCTCGGCGGCAGCACATCCAGTAGGAGCGTCCGTAAGGCAGGTCATGGTGGTAGGGCTTAGGGTGCCAGCGGCAGAGTGACACATCGCCCTTCTCGTATCTCTTGCGGCACTGCTTACAAGGGTCATCGCGGTAGAGGGGGTCTCGGCTCCAGCGCGAGTCTGTGGCCCGAACACCGAACGCTTCGATGATGCCCTTGAAGTGGTGGCAGGTGCACTTGAGGGCGGCCAGGGCCCGGGTGGGCAGGAAGCTGAAGATCTTGACCAGCACGTGCTCGGGAAGCAGAAGCATGTACTGCCGTGGCTCCAGCAGCCTCTGGATCTTGAAGCGGATTTCCAGGAAGTCGTGTGACACATGCCGGTACAGGCGGCACAGGGAGGTGTCTGCTGTGCCCTCAGCGTCATCTGGGCCTGGTGCAGTGGCCGGCGAGTCTGCTGGGGGTGGCTCGGGAGGCCCGTCCGGCCCCCGGGACTGGAGGAAGAAGAGCTGGCCAGGTGGGGGTGGCTCCTCAGGACTGACCGTCAGACACACTGTCTCCTCCTTCACATTCTTGGTACCATCCTTGCCAAAGAAGATGCACTCGTCCACCACGCCTGTCACCACCACATCCACGTGGAAGCCGGATGCTCCGCAGTCCCGGGCAGGGGGTGGAGGGGGTGCCGGGGGAGTGTCCTCGGGCCTGGCAGGGGCTGGGGCCTCCCCCTCGCTGGCTTCGTCCGCCCTGGCCAGAAGGAACTCCACGTTGCTAGGGAGGGCGTCCCGAGAGGGACTGATGAGCTGGTACAGGTCACAGGTAATCTTGTCCTTGGCTCGGGCCCCTGGTCCTGGGCTGCCCGGGTAGGCACAGCCTGGCCGGCCCCCACTCCCGTTGGGCAAGCTGCCGTCTGGTGCACGGGGCTCTCGGCCATTGGAGATACGGAAGGCGATGCGTACCTCCCCGGGGCCTGGCCCAGGCCTCTCCTCCTTGCGGAGGCCCTTGGCTGGAGGGTTGTCCCGCTGGGCCTCGAAATGAGCCACCGCCTCAGCCACACGGCTGCAGTCCCCGCCACCAGACCGCCGTTCAGACCCCAGCCCCTTGGCAGAACCACCCTGCTCTGCCGACACAAAGACCACAGGCGCTGGGGTGCCGGGGTGGGGATAGTTCTGCAGGGCCAGGGCAGCCCGCTGTTCCACCAGGGCCACCATCTCAGCCACAGAGAGCAGGTCCACATCCTCACTGGCTGCGGCTGGAGTCCCCTGAGCAGCAGGGGACCCCTCCCGGCCCCCGGGGTCCGGCGGAGCTTTCGTAGGCTCAAGACAGCGCCTCCTCCGCTTGGCCTTGGAGCTGTCACTGCCCCAGTGCCCCTTGACCTTCATGGAGCTGGCCCGGCTGCCGCCACCACACTGGTGGGCCACAAAGAAGGCCACCTTCTCCTTTGTATTCCCAGGCTTGATCACATACCACGTGTCCAGCAGGACTCGACCCTCGTCACCAGCAGCGGCTGCTGAGAGGAGAGGGGCAGGCTGGGAGGAAGGGGCCTCCGTGGCCAAGGCGGGTGGCGTGTTCTCTGAGTGGGCAGGCCCATGGTCTGGCTCAGCCCTGCTGCCGGACTCAGAACAGGCTGACGGCTTGAGGGCTGTGGAAGGTGGGCGCGGCTGGTTCTGTGAGTAGGTGCCAAAGGGCCGGGGGCACCACAGCTGGAAGGGCAGGAGGCCGCCACGGTCCATTCTGGGGAATGGTGGCAGACGGCGGGGGTCACTGCGTCTCAGGACCTGGATGGTGGTGGGGTCCTCCACGGGCCACCTGGACACGGGAAAGAGGAGGTTGGGAAGCTGGAGGTGCCTGCCTTCCCAGTACCACCCTGACCTCCACCTGTCCTGTTGAAAGTGACCAAATGAGACCAACAAGAGCTCTATTCCTGCCCCACTGCACATGAGCAAATGGAGAGCTGCAGAGGGGATGGGACCTCTCTTTTAATACCAGGAGCATGAACGGAGAAGGCAGCTTGCTCCAACCCTATAGAGGTCTCTTGCTGCCATAATCTTAAACTTCAGTGAAAATATCACCTGACAGACAGCTCCTCCTTTTTCTATTTGGTCATCCAGTAGCCAGCTCCTGAAAAGACAAGAATTCCCAGCCCAGCCCACAGCTATCTACGCAAACCCACAGAAGGAACGAGATGGGTTGGGAAGGGGGAATCTGAGGCCAAGCCTGACAGGCCCTTAAGAAACTGGCTCCTCCCTTTGTTCAGCTCATGGGGCCCTTTAAGGATTTCTGAAAGCCATGTATCCTCCCCCAGAAAAATGCATACACTTGCACAATACTGTGCAGGTAATTCCCTTAGGCAAATCTACAGACCCCTGGGATAAGAAAGCCTGTTCTAGCCCAGCCAGCATTGCTCAGTGGTTGAGTGTCGACCTATGAACCAGGAGGTCACAGTTCAATTCCCAGTCAGGACATATGCCTGGGTTTCGGACTTGATCCCCAGTGTGGGGTGTGCAGGAGACAGCCGATCAATGATTCTCTCTAATCATTGACGTTTCTCTCCCTCTTCCTCTCTGAAATCAATAAACATATATTCAGTAAAAAAATAAAAAAGAAAGCCTGTTCTAGTCTAGGCTCTCCAAGTTGTACAGGTAAACAGGGTCAGAGTGGGGAAGGGTACACAGTGCAAGACCAGGCCCTCAAACTTGCTTTCGGGACTTTTCAATTCAGGCTCTCTCTCTCTTTTTTAAAAATATACTTTTATTGCTGAAACCGGTTTGGCTCAGTGGATAGAGCGTCGGCCTGCGGACTGAAAGGTCCCAGGTTCGATTCTGGACAAGGGCACGTACCTGGGTTGTGGGCACATCCCCAGTAGGAGATGTGCAGGAGGCAGCTGATCGATGTTTCTCTCTCATCGATGTTTCTAACTCTCTATCTCTCTCCCTTCCCCTCTGTAAAAAATCAAAAAAAAACATTAAAAAAAAACAAAACAAAAAAAAAAACTGCAGATACTGGGGAGTGAGCCCGCAACCCAGGCATGTGCCCTTGGCCGGAATTGAACCTGGGACCCTTCAGTCCGCAGGCAGACGCTCTATCCACTGAGCCAAACCAGCTAGGGCCAGGCTCTGTTAATAATGATCATTTTATTTTGCAACAATTTTGTATGCATGACCTAATCTGGAGGCAAATCTGCTTATGAGTCAGACATGACCACTTTTTACTGCAGGAACAATAGGTAGCATATCCCTGTCTCAATCCTTCCCTGACCCATCTGTCTCCAGACATTTCGAAACCAAAATACCTTCCAGACCTCAAACCTTCCACATGTCTATAGACCAGAGGTCAGCAAACTACGGCCTGTGGGCCAAGGCTGGTCTACAGCCTGTCTTTGCAAATAAAGTTTTATTAAAACATGCTTATTTGTTTATGGCTGCTTTCGTGCTACAATGGAAGAGTTGAGTAACTGCAACAGAGAACACATGGTCTCGCAAAGCCTACAACATTCATTATCTGGACCTTTATGGAAAAAGTTTGCTGACCCTTGAAGTACAGACTATCCTTGTAAATACAGGCAATTCCACAAATACCACTAAAACCCCACCTTTCATGGTCCATTCAAAATCGACAGCCTCCAAACACCCACAGACACCAGTCACAAAGACAGTTCCAATCCTAAAAATCTTTACCGCCCTTATCCCTA